AAGTCGAAACTTAGAAAAATCATAACTTCCTCATACGAAGTCAGATTTGTACATTCTTTTTATGAACGCTCACAATTTAACGAACTCTACGACTTTCGTTTAGATCGCTAAGGCTAAATATCGCTCTAACGTAAATTCACTTTTTACATCATTTAGCATCGTGTCGGTTCTGTCGCAAAACTGCGACAAGTCAAAACTTCTTCGTTATAACTCGGATTTCAGCGTTCTTTATATGTACAAAATCTTTGTAACATAGACTACAACTTAGTTAAGATTATTCCCTCAAAATAATCTTCCATCAAAAATTCATTTTTGACGATTATCGTCTCTAAATTGACTAGCCCTAATCTACGGTCATTACAATTATCTCCCCCTTAGGATGATTACGTCTCAGAATCATGAATGAAATAGGATTTGCATACTGACTCCATATGTTATCTCTCCATCCTAAGTAATAACATTGATGCTTAATTCTGCATCTACTCATTGTACTATGTTGGACTTTCATTCGTAACCTTCGAATTAAAAAATAAATCCTTACTAAGAACTCCTTCTTCTTCTTCTTAGAATAAGTACTTTCTTTTATCTATTGTAACAGATTGATGGGTCATGTTCTAATGACCTCTCATCATATGATGCAACGCTTAGACTTAGGTCTCTTAGAGTTAAATTCCAGAATGGAATATACATTCCTTCATATTCTAATGTGATACAATCACATTTTAGCATGTAGCATTTCTAGCTATTAACTTCTTTAACAACGAGCACGATGCTATCGGTCGTATTGATTTCAATCCTCTGACCTCATTCAGATGCTATATCAAACTTAGTTCTGCGAACCATGTAACCATCTCATCGTAGTCGGACTCAATTTGATATGACCACTAGGGTCGGAATAACAATCATCTCACTAGTCATTAACGAAACGATGGTAACAACATACTTGAATAAAACGAGACCAATCACTAACTTCTTGGTAACCTTGTGACTTTCCCTGATCCAAGCGTGAGTCCTGTGCTTCCAGTAGTATAGATCTCTACTACTATTCACACCTACTCATACTCGTCCCAAGTATTATCTCGCAGTCCTCATGTCCTAAAATCACAAAACAATTTAACACATACGAATGTGTTCAATTAATCATACAAACTTTCCTAGACTCTACTAGGACTTCATCCATGCGCATCTTTACTCATCAATTCTACTCCAACTCAGTTGGTGATGGAAATTCCAGACAATGGGACAACTTTGAGAATTACACCAACCGTTCCATCATCCTACTAATCAAAGGTGTACTTCAGACATGCCGTACTCCTCTAAATGTTCGGTAATTTTATCAGACATATTCTAAAGGCAAGATACCACTCTTTACTATATCTTCCGATAGGTGTCATTCACTATCATAAGCCCTTTTAATTCCTCCATTTACTCACTTCTCTACGAGTCTTCACCATGAATTTATTTTCACAGAAGCATGCATTCATTGCATCGAGACGAAAATATAGATAGAGAAGATTTAGACGTGTAAAACTACTTATTACTCCGAAAAGTTACATGTCAATTCTAATATTGTAATTAAACATTTAGAAACCTGAACACATAAAACTTCGAGATCCGGTCGGCATCAGACCATTGATCCAAACAAATAATAGCATATGTGGCAAATATATATCATTTAGCACATAAAAGCATTTTAGGCATCATTCCTAAATAAACTAGTACTTGTGTCAATTTAGGTGTACTACCTAAAATATAAAAGACACACTCAACTCACAATCATCGCTTAGCATCCTAAGTTTAAGTCTAGAAATCCTACAAATTCCTATTTCGCTTAAACTAATGCTCTGATACCAACTGTAACATCCCTAATTTCATGGCCAGAAAAGACCGATTTCTTTATGCTTTGTTTTATAAAATCAGAGTAATCCTTTGATTAAAAGAGTTATGGAATTTTTTCCCAAAACAACGATAAAATTTA